CCCACACTTACGAAACGAAAATGACTAACCTCAAAACTATTGGAGAAAATTGCTTTATTACCGTTTAGCCATACAATCGAGAATATATAGAAGGGCAACTCGTGTCAGTGACCTTGGATGTAAGCGTGTCGCGCAGATTGCTTTGCGCATACCGGAAATTTAACGGCCGCCATTACTCCGGCCAGTAAAGCGTAGAATGTTTACTACGAAAATATACCAAGCGGGAGATGTAAAGTGGGTTAAAATGTAGAATTTGAGACGTATTGGCTTTGTTTTGCATTTTGATTATAAGCTATTGCATAATTGCCATTCGCAAAACAATGCGTTATAAATGCGCATTCTTACAAACAGTTTTTTAGCATTTTTAAATGCAACGGCCTACTGGTATTAGTGCTATATTAGTGCTATTTATTTGAAGGTTTCAAACGATTTTTTTATACATCAGACGATTTTACATATTCAGTTTTTCACCAGAGAGTTACCAAACACATTTTGCTGTTGTACACTGTATATACAGCATTCTATAAACTGAACGCTTTGGCCACTATCTATCATCCCAGCCCCAGATTTGAGACCAGATCTCATTCTTTTCATCGAGAACGAGATACGCCTTTTTTATAGAAATATATAGAAACCCGGCACAAAAAGAAAAAAACCATGGAAAAAAAATTAATTCTCATTCCGATGGTTGTCAGTGGGAAAAGTGGGTAGATAAAGGTTGATAGTGAGAAAGGAACTCGTCTATCTTACTGCCATACGACATACGTGTTGCACATAAACCAATCACAACGTAAAGGACAAAGAACAACCCAACGAACGACAAGGTGCAGTTTACAAAATAAACTGCTCCGACTGCCACGCCTCCTATATTGGGGAAACTGGCAGGAACTTAAACATAAGACTTACTGAACACAAACAAGCTACAAAGAAAGAAGACAAAACTAATCACATTGCCGAACATCAACGACTAACAAAGCACAACATCGACTGGTACTCAGCAAAATGCATTACTTACAGCACTGACTCTAGACAACGGCTTACGTTAGAAAGTTAGTATACCAACTTTGAACAAACCTCCCTGAACAAATCACAGCAATTACCGGCACCTTACAAACGACTTATTCACAATACAAAGAAACGAGCAACTAAAAACATAACACTTCAAACTAATCCACGATGACAATACACAATTGACACACACACATTTCCTACACACAATACAATGACGTAAGAACCAGATAATAAATACGGCTAACCTGACTATATTCTTTATTTGACTCTGAAGATGACTACCGATAAGGTTGTCGAAACGTCAGTCAACAACAACAACAAAAACAGTCCTTCTCAGGACTCTACTAACCTGGACAATCAACATCTACAAACATGTAACATTCTAGTATGATATTTAATGCCTCCCTTCACAATTATTATCGTCATCGCATCTACTACAATGAGGAATTTGGACAAATTATTAGCTCCGAACATGGGCAGAACTTTCGCAGCATTTCCCGCTCGTTTTTGTATTTGGCAAACAAAAGTCATGAGTCTTATTTGTATCAACTAGTAAAAGGTACAAATAATATAGTTTGAAGGAGCCAATGAGATTTTCTATAAAATCGATTTTAGAATCTTGTTAGTTAACATATGATAGACTGATATAGGATCTTAAAATATACTGATAGGATCTTAAGTAATTATATACATTTTTATCAGGCATTAAAAGAAGTGTGTTTTTTATACACTTTGTGTGCTTGTAAATTAAAAATGTGTCCTTGTTAATGAAATATGTGTCCTCTAGAAAAAGAATTGGAATATGATTTATTATTTTTTCTTATCGTTCTACCCTGTAAAGGTTGATATGTAAGGTAGATATGTAGAGGTAGAGGCCCAATGTGCTTATTAGTAAAATGCGCTAAACCATATGCTTCATCATTTGACTCCAGTTATATGAATATAATGCAGTTAAGTGCATCAACAATACTTCTTTAATAATCCAAAAAAATAGCACAATGCTATATCCAACAACTATAAACAATAATGACCTTATCTAACAACATTTGAATATAGGCCTTCCACTACTCTTCCTTGTTAACGAGACAGGTCTACTCAAAAGTAGAGATCTTGCCTTACAAGTCCCTGGCTTGTGACCCGTATAGTAGAGTTAAAAGGTGACTTAGACAAATAAACTGAATATTACTGTTTGTTTTTGTGCAAGCATGTTAAACAGTTCACATGGACAAAGCTCGAATTCCATATTAAAAATATAGTAACATAATCCGGTGTTAATGTTAGACAATACATCATGACCTTCAGTGAAAGCATCACGCTTCCCACAGGAAAAGAATGAATCTAATACCAATGTTGAATAAATAGGAATATTCAGTTGATTAGTCTATGATATACCTTTCATATTGTAACTCTGCTATATCGGTCACAAGCCCGTGACATGTGACGCAAGACTCTCTACTTTTGAGTAGACTTGTTTTGTTCAGAAAAAAGAATTGTGGAAAGTTAATATTCAAATATTGTTACATAAGGTCATTATTCTTTTTATAGTTGTTGGATAAAATATTATGCTATTTTTTGTATTTTTTAGTAACATTCCAACTATTTAAGTTCTTTAATAGAATAAGACGCGTGAGCGATTATTAACATTCAACAAGGAATTATTTTTGAATGGATAGGACAGAGACAATCTAAATTTATAGACTTAAACACAGATTATTTCAGATTCAGGTACAACACTATATTTCATTTAACAGTATATGCAATTCGATTACTTTGATATTTATATTATAAATTTCATAATACAAAACAATTCTGATGTCTGACATTAGTGACATATGAAATTTTGGACAACAGCATGGATAAGTTTGTTCTTCATAAAAAGACATCTCATGCTTAGATAGATGAGTATGTAAATAGTATACATTTTCGCATGCACAAATACTTAAAACAACCTCAAAGTGATAGTGAATTTGAGACCGAGACATTGAAGTAAATTCCGCCAAACCAGTCTCTTAAACGGATTCAGGCACTACCAGTGGGCACAACCATTAATATTGCCAAGGATACCAATATACACGTACAGTGGTAATTCTCGTGGCCAAAGATTAGTAGTATGTTAAGCCTGTGTTACATTCCCTAAACTATCAAAATGTTTGCATGCAAGGCAAAAATTCCCCCAATATAGACTAAAAATGGAGAGAATCCACGAAAAAAATATTGAAAATCATCTATTTCAATTATTACACATAATTTTAGTTTTAATAGATAATAAACTGTTGCGTTGTGAAACAATAAAAATAAACATTGAAAATTTTTAGCTTGAAAAAATTTAAGTTTTATAAACTTGTCCGTGGTCAGTTTTTATATTTAACATGTCTTCATACAAGACTGATACCAAAATACACCATGTTTTATGATGGAAAAAAGTTAACTACGGCACCTTAGAGTAGAGTAATAAAGTATCTGTATATTCACCTTCACCCTCTAGTGGCCGGGTGACATATCTGTAACTATTGGGAAGCCAACTGATAATGATTGGAAAAGTAAACGCCCGGCTTTTAAAGTGTGTCCTTGTAAAATTTTCTTATTTTAATGCCTGATTTTTACCTATTTTCTTTTAAATTTTATATATGTTAAATCTTCCTGTTTTAAGATCTTAATTATAGTTTATAGTCATACATTCTTTCTTATAATGTTCATGAAAGATTTATAGGTAATTTTACTTCTTTTGCATTCGAATAACTACATGCAATGTGGCATTTAAGTTGGCGATTAGAATGACCTAGAAACCAAAACAAACAGAAGTGACTACGAAAGAAAAGATAACTTTATTAAGATCTTTTGAATAATTCTATTGAACGTCGGGCTTTTAAAGTGTGTCCTTGTAAAATTTTCTTATTTTAATGCCTGATTTTTATCTATTTTCTTTTAAATTTTATATATGTCAAATCTTCCTGTTTTAAGATCTTAATTATAGTTTATAGTCATACATTCTTTCTTATAATGTTCATGAAAGATTTATAGGTAATTTTACTTCTTTTGCATTCGAATAACTACATGCAATGTAGCATTTAAGTTGGCGATTAGAATGACCTAGAAACCAAAACAAACAGAAGTGATTACGAAAGAAAAGATAACTTTATTAAGATCTTTTGAATAATTCTCTTGAACGTGTTTTGGGCCTTTGCGGTTATCTCAAAATACTTACTCATTGGCAAGTTTTAATTCGCTTCATCTACTCATAGTTTCCAGTTACACGACATAGTTATCTTGCACGCAATAAGCTAATTGAATAATAAATATTGATGTTAAATTGTGTTTTTTTTCACACATTGATAAATATTCATATATAAACACGCACACACCAAAACATAACATTGCGAGGCTTTTGGTAAATAAAATATTGAAAAACAAATTTTGCATTTTTGATGGAAGGGTTCAAGTTATTATAGCGAGATATGCATTTTGCCCTAATTTTAGTTACATTTAGATGAAAGTTACAGCATGGTCTTGTAGAACGGGAATGTATTTTGCTATTTTTTTGTTTATATTAAAGTTGAAGTCAATTAAATTAATACTGTATAAATTACTGTAGATATAACGACAAAGCGATGCTTGCATCCGGGAGATTGAAAATTGACCTATCTGCTTGTTATCCAAATTTCATTGATTGCCTGGAATTCGTAAGATTTGGATTGCCAATCTGTGCACCAAAAATGTTCAGTGCATTCGTCATGACTATCAAACTATAGAGTGGCGATCGATGGCCAGAATTTTAGCATAATGCCATAAAACTAAAAGTTCCAATAATTGTCCAACTTTTTGTCGTATTACTAATATATACCCATTCTATAGACATACCCTAGAATCTCCTTTTTTAATAAAGATAAGTTTTCAATCTTTTGAATGCTTGTTATGCAATTGCCCTATTTTATAGTCTTATTTTAATGTTTTTGCTTCTTTCCATAAGACAAAAAAGTTGAACCACTAAATTTTACGTAAAAACAATAGCTCTGCGTTTTATTTATTCATTCTTATGATATAAATTAAGCTATGGGCAAATTAAAGCTACAAATTGTTCAAAATGTGGACCTAGTGTGAACTAAAAAATTGGTTAAAACCAGTTTTAAAAAAAATTCTTTGATCGTACATTTTTCTTCTTTCCCATTGTTGAGCATATACATCATGTTAATATAACTATACACAGACTTTTTAAAATTATTGCACATCTACATCCCGTTTTTCTAAATAACTTCCTGGAACCCAGCCTTCGTCAGACGTCCGTTGACATCTCGCATACCACCATCCACCATCACCAACTCTCAAGACATATAAAATATCACCATGCAAAAAGCTGAGCTCTGTTTCTTCAATAGATTTGTAGTCTGCAATACCGTAATATATATCAGGTTCCTCAGTATACGGCACTTCCGTAATCTATTAAAAGAAATAAACGTTGACTAAATGACGAAGTGCATATTTCTTTATGAATTTTAGATACGTCGTTTTGTTTTATGGTTTCTTTTGCCATGATGGTTTAGAATGATTTTAACCTGTCTAATTTACCCTCTACTTCCCAAGTTTGTTAGTCGTTTGAGTTTGGAATGGTTTCCTTGATGTTGCCATACGGCAACGCTGAGAGACAAAGGGTTATAATTGTGAGACATTTATAAACTATGTGCAAGGGGCATTTTACACTTGACAGAATTGTGAAGATAACTGAATTCGTTAGATAATAATCTCGTTCCTAAATTGCTCCCGCAGTCTCATCTGCCGTTTCAACGATTTCACTTCCGTTTCAAAAAAAATAATAAAGCAGCGGGGTTTTCTCTGTGTTTTAGCTATCTAGCTATATGTGTTGTACATTTTAGAGAATGAAATATTAAATTATTGTAAGTCTAAAGAAAAGTTTTTTCTTGCTTTATTCAAATATAGCGTAAAACATAATGTCAAATGCACGATTGCGTTTTACAGATCGATCCATGTTTTTGATATATACTGCATGTTGAAGTACTCTCGCATTTTTCGAAATGGATGTTGAACGACAAATATATATTTTTGGTTCTTTGGTCTCTTTGGCTGATGATCTTAAGCTTGGTTCTTCTTCTTCGACAGATGTTACTCAAGAGTCGTCATCCAAAATCACATTATGTCAATCGTGTTAATTTGCGGATTTACTAGATGCCTTTCTGATCTGTTTGTAATTTCTACGGACAACGGTAAATCTGAAATGGATTTTCAATAACTTCATTGAGCACTTATGGCTTTTTCCTGTCAGCTGCATGAATAAGGCTTTACTAACACTTTTTCGCCAAGTGTAAAACCTTTAGCACTTCTTTGCATATTACAACATAACTTGGGAAAAGCTCGTCTTTTTGATAAGTCCTCAATGGACAACTGTATGTTTTATCTTTTGTTTGTTGCACAAGTGTATGGGCCTTTGTGACGAGATTTTTTTAAAATATGTTTTGTCATCTTTATAGCTGCTTTTGTTACAGAAATTTGTTGATTTTGCCCAGCAAATTAGTCTGCACTCTGATTTCTTTTACATTTTTGAGATTGCAATTCTAAAAACAACTCTACAAGTCTACTAAATTTTACCCCTATTCATGAAAGTCGTTTTGTGACATAGGAAATAAAATATTTAGTGCAAAAGTGACATTAAAACATTAATTAGGAAACTATGAGTACAAATTTGTTTATTATATTAAGTAAAAGGAAACTAGACAAATACAAATTGCAACTCAATTAATTAATACGTCAATAAATAAAACGTAAGAGCTATTGCCTTGGCTCAGGTAATGCGATTACTTTATAATCATATATACATATTCTTTTGTAAATCAACCATACTCGTGACTGTCAAGCTGTATTCCTATGTGCCTTAAACATTCTGTGGAATGCCAAATCGTGCAAAGCTCTTTTTCATTATTCCTAACATTACTTTTCGCATGAGTGCATGTTCGCTATTAACGAGTCTAACATAAAAGATCACTGTAATGCTTACAATTCTATCAAATAAGACGAAAAGATCAACAATAACCTTCTGCTATAGCAGCATAAGATTTTTGTATGATTTCATAGACTCTGCATGTCTTTTAACAAAATACGGGTAATAAGTGCTACATCATGTGACTTGTGTCACAAATGGCTTCTGGAATTTCTTTATGACCTCTCTTGCTTCTCGAATACACTCTTCTGTCCTTGATAAGGTTCTCCAGGCTCTGCATGTTAACCTATCTGGGGGGCATGCCTTCATTACCACCCATTGCACTTCGCGTTCCGTCAATATTTTCAGTAATACCAATAGTGATGGCGTTATTGTGATAACCGCAGACTTTCATTGTTCTGAAAATTTCTTTATTCCAAATTATTTTTTGGAGTCTTCGCTTTCAATATTACAAAGAGTTGAGTTTCACAAGATGTTTCGGAAAAAATCTTTTGTATTTGTCTCCAAAATCTCCATTTCCAAACAATAGAGAAACCATTCATGAATGAACAACATCATTTTCCAAAAGCGTATGCCAAATAAAGCTTAATTTGAAAATCTAATGAACATTGCAGAAAGTTGTCATGAGAACATTATGATTGAATAGATCCATTTCAATGGCTATTTGTAAGGCAAAAGCTAAATTACAATTGCTTAGTATCTTTTATATTTTTTCCTAGTAGCTTAAAATTGTGCTTGGTGTCGGAGGGTTTGAGATACAAACCTTTGTTAAAAACGTGTTGCAACTTCTGTTATTGTTTAGTACGCAGATAATTTATAGGTCAGGCAATTTTTTGTATGATAAGGTGCTCGTCTTTCTTTAGGAGTGACAACAAGGTCAATTTATATTCATTATAATAGCAAGTTCATTTTTCTTACTGGCCATATTCGTTTTCATAAGCCACTCCTCCCCCCTCCCCCTCGGAGAAATGAAGCATATATTTTACTTAAGCAAAAATTTAAGAAGTTGTGATTCAAATCTTTTGTTGAGGCTCACGCCAAAGATAATTAGACTGAAAATGGTTGATTCGTGGCATAAATTCTTTAAAGATATTATCTGAATGGTACCAGATTAGCTTTGTGACAAGTGTTAGAAAGTTTTCTTATAAATTTAGAAAGTTTTAGAAACTGCACTTTCTCATTCGAGTCAAATTTTTCAATATCCACTCCCTTCAAAAATAGTAGATTTGTAAAGAAACCACGTCACAACAAAAGGGAACTCTGTCCTTGGTAATTAAAGTAACGTTAAATATACCTAATACTCCTAGTTCTCATTATGCATTTTGACGTCGCAAGTTAGATAAATTAAAAGTGATATGCACAAACTGTTTTAGAATGTCCATTGTCATTTTGAAAGATCTCCTCAATAAAAGTACAACTCAGATAGCAAAATTTTCGTGCTTTAAAGCATAGGTAAACCATGCTGGCTGGTTAATTTTTTATTTGTTGCCAAGAAAAATTCATTGCTTTTCTATGGCATTTTGTAACAATAAACATCATTGCCATAATTTCTAATTAGCAGCAATTTTAAAAACACGACGAGGATGTTTCGACATTATCAGAATGCCATCTTCACTGAAGATGAATGCCATCTTCACTGAAGATGGCATTCTGATAATGTCGAAACATGTTTGCTCTCAAAAAAATCGTCGTTTTTCTCAAGTGTTTTTTAAACATCATTGCCATGGACCATCTACGTGTACTTACAATTTGATAAAATAACATTTTACCGTGGTATTTTCGTCCTCATCATCAGACCATTCACTATCATCTGACCATTCATTTTCATCATAGTCATCATAATCATCGCCTTCCTCGACACTTTTTGTCAAAACATCATTGTACTCTTCTTCATTATTATTGGAAACCCTTATATTAAAGCAGGACATGAAATCAGACACTTGTACTAAAGAACAGAGATTATTCTTTGTGATGTGCAATTAAAGTTAAGTCTTATTACTTGTAGCGCAGCGATAAACCCCTTTTTAAAGAATTTTAAATGGAGGAGGGGAAGTAGCACAAGGAGACCTCAATGGCGCAATAAAAGGGAAATGCTGATTGGTATCAAAAAAAGCTCGTGCAAAATTTTGAAATCAGTTGTCAAATTACCCTCTTTTCTGTACTCAAAATCTTTAAAAGTATGCTAAGATTTTCGCCAAGTGCGCTTATATTAACATAAAATATATGAAAAACGTAAGAAGAGAGGCTATCTTTTTTTACCAGAAAATATTTTTTCAAAATATCTTATATGACGTGCAACATATGCATCAAAATCTGATGCCAAATATAACTCTTGTCTATAAAAAACCAAATTTCGCTCTACAGTTTAAGATTTCCATTTTGTAGACAAATATATCAATATTTCAAAGTATGACTTGGCATTATTACAATATATGGGCGTCAAACGGATGCATCATATAGATGTAATACATGTTTGAAAATTCACTGAGATCTGTTTTTTTTCAGTTTGAAAACCTGGAAAATCACCCAATACATTTTAGACATTTTAGAATCAAAATTGCGTGAATTGTATACATTGGCAATGCGTTCAATATTTATATATATATCTAAATGTTGCTTAAAAGTAAAAGTTTCTCCGGATTGTATAAAACGATTTTACAATCGAGACTTCATCAGAATGAGGAAGTTATCTATTTACAGTTGCTTTTAGCTTGTAGACGCTTTGAGCGTCAAACTGGATTAGCGGGTGGATTAATGTGATTGGATGGGGTGAAATGCGTTGCCATGGGTTTTGGTGTATTGTGAATATGATCGGTGTTAATATTATTAGAGTGTAATGCTGTAGTTTTGGTGTTGTTTGTAGTTTTTTTGTCCTTTTTCTTTAGTTGTGAATATATGATGGGTATGTCGATATGTCTGTTTATTGTGTCGCTGTCTTTACTGTACCAAAATTCGCGTGCGTGTTTAGTCTGTGCGCGTCCGAGTACTTTAGTTTCTGTCCAGTAGAATGTGTAGTTGTTTCCGTGGGTATGTTCGGCAGGTAGTGAGTTCGGATCTCGACGTTTTATGGCGTTTTTGTGTTCTGTGAGTCTTGTTTCGATTTTCTTTGATGTTTGTCCTATGTATTGCTTTGAACAGTCTTTACATGGTATCATGTAGATCGCGTCAGTTGTACCATGAATTATTGTTTTGTCTTTATGTTTGGTGAAATATGATTTGAGTTTTTGTGTAGGTTTGTGGGCGACGTTAATATTAAATGGTCGAAGAAGTCTGGCAGTCATTTCTGATGTTCCGTTTATGTATGGTAATGTGACGATTTTTACTATTTCGTCCGGTTTTTTGTTGCTTTTGTCGGTTTGTGTTTTGTTTTGTATTTTGTATATAGTTTTGTTTATGAAGTTTCTAGGGTAATTGTTTTTAATAAATGTGGAGTATAAGTAGTTGTGTTCTGTTTTTTTGGCTTCTTCCGTATTACAATGAGTGTTTATCCTGTTGAAAAGTGTTCGAATGCAGCTTATATTGTGTTGTGTTGGGTGATTGCTGTTGAAATCGAGTATTTGGTCTGTGTGGGTGGTTTTGCGGTATACTTGTGTGTTTAGTGTACCGTCATCTGTTCTGGTTAGTAGGATGTCGAGGAAGGTAAGTTGTTTGTCGTGCTCTTCGTCTTTAGTAAAGGTAATGTTCTTTGTGGTATTGTTTATGGTGTGTAGGATTTGTTCAGTTTTGTCTTTCTTGACTATGGCAAAGATGTCGTCGACATATCTTTTCCATAGTCTGATGTTTGTGTTGTTTGTGACTGATTGTGTTTCGAGGTGTTGCATGACAGCTTCTGCGAGGAAGGTGGATAGTGGTGATCCCATTGGTGCGCCTGAAATTTGTCTGTAGTATGTGTTTTGGAAGGTGAATTCAGTCGAGAGGCAAAGGTTGAGTAAGTCTAGGATGTCATTTTTGTCTAGTTGTGTTGTAGCTTGCCAAGTTTTGTCGTTTGTGAGTAGTTCGTTTGTAATTTGTTTGGCGATGTCTAGTGGTATGGATGTGAAGAGTGATGTCACGTCGTAGGATATCATGATTTCGTCTGGTCGTAGTTTAATGTTTTCAATACTGGCGAGGAAAGTGGTGGCATTTCTGATGGTGTGAGGTGAATTTTGACTAATGGATACAGAATGTTATAAAGATATTTTGAAAGTTCATACGTAGGTGATCCTGGAAGCGATACGATAGGTCGAAGTGGGTTGTTTTCTTTGTGGATTTTTGGTAGTCCGTAGAATTTGGCGGTGGATGCGTCATTGGGTCGGATTCTTCTGTAGTCGTTTTCGTTTAGTTTCTTTTTGTCTTTTAGTTGTTTCAGTTTCTGGTTGATGCGGTTGGTGGTCGTTTTGCTGGGGTCTGTGTGGAGAAGTTCGTTGGTGGTGGTGTCTTGTAGGAGGGTTTTGGCTTTGTCGATGTATTCTGATCTGTCCATGATAACTGTTTTGCGTCCTTTGTAAGCTCGTAATATGATTATTTGGTCGTCGTTTTGTAGGTTTTTAATTGCTCGTAGTTCTTCGTAGTTTAGGGTGACAGGTGGTTTGTGGCAGAGGTTATTTGTGATTTTGTGACGAATGTCTTCTTTCGTTTGGTCTGTTAATTTGGTGTACTTTAAAGCGGATTCCAGGTCGGCAACGTAGTCAAGTTTGTTCGCGTCTTTAAAGTTGTAATTTAATCCTTTGTTTAAAATTTTAGTTTGCTGTTCGGTTAGTGGTTTGTTCGAGATGTTTGTGACAAATTCGTTTGTGTTGGGATGGAGTTGTTTGTAAGATCTGGATTCTTGTAATTTTCGATGATGTTCGTGGTGTCGTTTTGTTCTATATGCGGATGTTGCTTTTTTGATGGCTTCATTAATGGATTTGGCGTCTAATTGTGTAGTGTATGTTGTTACGGTTTCTCGATGTTCTTGTAGTTTATGACGGTAGATTCGTAAGCGGTTGTGGGCATCTGATATGAGGACGTTTAACATACGGCGGCCGTTTGATTGTGCAATTTGTTGAGCGTGAGTTGTTTTTAATGGTGGTCGGTAGTTGATGCTGTTTGGTAGGATACGTTGTTGTTTGCATTTGTGTAGGAAGTGAAGCTGCTCCAATGTCGATGACTCTATACGTACGAATAATTCCCATTTTCCTGTTCTTCTGAGAATATCTATCCCATATATCGATTTTATAAGTTTGAAAATTTGTAATTCAGGCATTTAATACATAAAAGATAAAAGTTTCTCCGGATTTTAAGTGATTTTTTTTTTAACCAGAACAGATGACGGTACACTAAACACACAAGTATACCGCAAAACCACCCACACAGACCAAATACTCGATTTTAACAGCAATCATCCAACACAACACAAAATAAGCTGCATTCGAACACTTTTCAACAAGATAAACACTCATTGTAATACGGAAGAAGCCAAAAAAACAGAACGCAAATACTTATACTCCACATTTATTAAAAACAATTCCCCTAGAAACTTCATAAACAAAACTATATACAAAATACAAAACAAAACACAAACCGACAAAAGCAACAAAAAACCGGACGAAACAGTAAAAATCGTCACATTACCATACATAAACGGAACATCGGAAATGACTGCCAGACTTCTTCGACCATTTAATATTAACGTCGCCCACAAACCTACACAAAAACTCAAATCATGTTTCACCAAACATAAAGACAAAACAACAATTCATGATACAACTGACGCGATCGACATGATACCATGTAAAGACTGTTCAAAGCAATACATAGGACAACCATCTAAGAAAATTGAAACAAGACTCACAGAACACAAAAACGCCATAAAACGACGAGATCCGAACTCACTACCTGCAGAACATACCCACGGAAACAACCACACATTCGACTGGACAGAAACTAAAGTACTCGGACGCGCACAGACTAAACACGCACGCGAATTTAAAGAAGCTTGGTACAGTAAAGACAACGACACAATAAACAGACATATCGACGTACCCATCATATACTCACAACTAAAGGAAAAGGACAAAAACTACAAACAACACCAAAACTAAAACACTACACTCTAATATTATTAACACCAATCATATTCACAATACACCAAAACCCATGGCAACGCATTTCACACCATCCAATCACATTAATCCATCACTCATCCAATTAGACGCTCTAAACGTCTCCAAGCTAAAAGCACGTGTAAATAAATATTTTTCATTCTGATGAAGGCTCGAAGCAACGAGTCGAAAGCTCAATAAAAACTCACTTTAAATCCGGAGAAACTTTTATCTTTTATGTATTAAATGCCTGGATTACAAATTTTCAAACTTATATATATATATGGAGGGCACATTGTTATACATTTTGTATATTACGCTCGCTGCGCTTGCGCAGTTTGAGCGCTCTCGGGTTGCGTAGAGAGTTTCATAAAGAGACGTTCACCGCATTCGCTTTATGCATTGCTCACCTATATAGGTTTGAGCGCTCTGGTGACTCTACAATACAATCCATACAATGTGTAACCGTACGTCCTGTGTCCCAAGTGCAGGAGTCACCATTTTACTATGGTGATAGCCGGGAGGGCACATTGTTATACATTTTGTATATATATATATATATATATATTGATGAGAAGAAGAAAATACACAAAAACTACAATTTCATCCCGACAAGCCTGTTTCGTGATTTCTCACTCTTCGTGATTTCTTCACTCTTCTATATTTACGCTCTGCTCTTAAGCATCGAGCACTGTACTTACGGAGATTCAAATAAACAAAACTTCCTATATATATATATATATATATATTTGAAAATTGGTAACCCAGGCATATTATGATAAAGATAAGGATTCTCTGGATTTGTTTTAAATTTTTATTAAGCTTTCAACTCGGTGCTTCGAGCCTTCGTCAACACCAATTTCAACTCATCTCAACTTATTTCAACTATAAGATGACAACGCATCTTATACCATCCAATAATATCAACTCAACTACTAACCAACCAATCAGACGCTCCAAACGCCTACAAAATCTTTGTAAATAATATATTGTCACATTCTGACGAAGGCTCGAAGCACCGAGTTGAAAGCTTAAAGTGCCCCTGTCAAAAAAATGAAACTCACGCATATGAATCTTTGTAATATGTACATAATGAAAATGGAAATCAGAATTAAATTAAAACGATTTTTGCCGAGTTATTGCGGTATGAATTGCAAAATTTTCAAATTTTAACGGCAAAAGTTTTTTAAAATCGCGAAGTCGGAAACCTGGTAACTAATACGTCACAGTAGGAACCGGTTCGCATCTCAGCTTGTTTACAAATAGTAAAATTATTGTACAAAGGTCGATATTTACAATCAAAACTCGCTCAATTTTTCTAATAATGTCCTCATCGAACTCAGACACGGAAAGTACTAGCTACCAAACAGACGACTCTGATTGGAATTATTATCCGGATATTTGATATAAAAAAGACAAGTGAAGCGTCCGCTACTAAAGACGACAAAAGCACAGATGACAACGCAGACGTTGGCCCATACAGCAATGAACCAGTTGCTGATGAAGAATGGCTTTCTAACTACCGTGGAAGAAAACAAAAATATGATGACCGTTTGAAAGAACTTCAACGTAGACTTGACGGCGAAGAGAAATATGACCAATGGTAATTATTTGATGGTTTTGTAATATAATTCGTCGGGATTTCTTTTAAATGAAATTTACAGTACAGAGCTTCTTTATTAAGTTTTGAAAATAACGTTTTAAGGTGTAAATGTGGCAATTGTCGAGTTGAGCTTCTTCACAATGTTAAAGAGTGTCAGTGTTGCACAGAAATAGAAGAGTGCGAACAAGCACTGAATAGCGACCAGCACCGAATAGCACCGAATAGCACTGCTTCCAACCTCATTTCTCTACAATTAAGGAAGAGACACAATCAGCATAACCTTTGAATGATAGTCACATTGTTTGAGGTTGAATTTTAAAATTTGTTTATACCTGGATCAAACTAAAATCGATTATTTCAGCTGAAGTACAACAAAATATTGTATTAGCACCATATTTTGCACTATGACCCATGCTGTCATGTCGTGCGTCACCAGAAATGGTAATTGATTCCAGAGCCTGTAATCTATCAAGAATCTTTCTTTGATAGTCTTTCCAGTGAAGAAAGATTGTCGGAAGCACCATTTTCTTAAGTAAGAATAAGAAATACTATCAAATTCTTCGAACAAAGAACGGTCCAAGTATTTTTAATGCAAAAGAACGTACCACTTGGTGTCTATAGAAAGACTCATTAGATATTGTAGCAAGCCCCATGTGTCGAAACATGTTGATCACTTTGGTGGAAGATCCTCCAGAAACAAGTATGGCAAAACTTAAAAGGAAGTCTCTTGCATTTACTTTTGTGTTTGGCAAAAGTGGCTGACTTTTCCAGATGTTATTCCTTTTATCGCACGCGGGGTTTCCACAGGTTGTTTTGACAACAACTAGTGTACCATCTGTTACCATTTCTACGAGCGGGTTATCTGCCTTGCAAACATGGCAAAATTTAAACGGTAACATCAACTGGGATTGGAAAACAATGTATTTTTCTTCCTTCCGTATGTTTTCTTTAGGATTCCTAAACGAAGATAGAGTCATACGGGTGCCATCAAGACATAGAATGATTCACAATTAGATAGCATTTACAAACAAGTCTAATATTTTACCTTCTGCATTCATCTTCTAATTCATCAAATTCCGATCTTCCCGATTCAGCCTCGTCTTCTATTTTAAAATCGTCGTCCGCAACCGTGTCCATTTCAACTTCGCTGTCTTCAGACTCTTCATTTACGTCGTTGCCTGCCGTCATTTCAGATTCAGCTCTGTGCTGAATGACCTCTTCGTCATTCAGTATATTGCACTGAACACCTACATAATAATAAACAAATCGAACAAGTTAATTTAAAAAAGTTTCATAAAATTATCATTTAACATAAAATGTCTTCTTTTAATTCTATTGCGTGAGTTTAGCAATACAGCTATAATAACCGGCACCACGGCTGATAAATGCCGGAAATATTATACGGGTTTCCCCTGTAGTGAAAACACGAAACGTGTGCAGTACTTATGTGCCAAACACGATACCTTTAGAACGTTTGGCTTTCACTAATTCATCGTATTTTGCTTTTAGAGCTACATATTTGTTCCATGTTTTCCTTTTCTCTTTCAGTAGGTACGCACAACCAACACAACCATCTGTCTGAGTCAAAGCGCTGTTTGTCTAAAAGAAAAAGTCTTTCTTAAAATGTATGCATAATGTCAGTAGGGGTCAACATATGTTTTGACAGAAAAGCTCACGAATGGCAAGTCAAATTGTAAGATCGCACTATACTAGCAGGAATAAAGGTATATACTATATACTTTGCTGCAAGGAACATCGCTTGGTATCTCTTCATCCACATTTAATTCCATTGGCACGCAGTGTTCGAAATCCTCTGGCTCTTCTTCTGATTCTCCTGGTCGAGACAAACTTGTGGACAATGCTTCCTTTAAAACCTTTCGAAAATGTCAACAAATTTATGTACAAAACAGTGATTCTCAAAATAGGTTCATGTGTATTTTCCTGTATTTACCATGTTTTAAAAAGCGTGCGTTAATCTCTTGAAATGGAATGAATAAACTTACCCTTCTCTTGGCTCTTGCTGACGGGGGACATTCAGCTGCAGTATTATATTTAGGGACTGCCACGACGCCAATCTCATCGGTAGCTAATCTAGGTACTTTAGCCGACAGACCAGAAAACATTTGCGAAAAATCTTCTGTTGCGAAATGTGCTGAGCAAATACTGGAATTAGGTGTTGGATCCCATTTTGCCCGTTTCAACCGTACGAAATCAATCCATTGTTTACGTCTTATTTTGGCTTCTGGCCTTTCATCTCCGGAAAACGGTATGCAATGAAGCGAGACTCCTTTTTTTACATTAGAGACATTAGAGCAACCAGCCACAATACATCTATTTGGCATTTTCTATTTTGCGTGACTTTTTCGGGCCGCCAACTACAGTACAAGAACACTTCGACAATACACGCTCTAATGTTTTCGTGGGTCAATAGGCCTGACCGGATCCTACTGTGACGTCACTAGACTGATTTGGTACCAATCTCTTATGCGCGGTTTTCGAATTTTTACTTCTCAAAATTCTATGTTCAAATGACTATAATTTCTGCACTAAATTCAGAATCGAAATTCGATTTTCAAATAACGCATGTACGTATTACAAAGATTCATATATGTGAGTTTCATTAATTAAAAGGTTGAAAATTTTCACAAAGTCTTTAGATCTTATGGCACTTAGTCAGACAGAAAACGAATAATTAGCGAATTTTGCAAACAAATCAGTTGTACAAGTAGCCAATATAATCATATGTAAATTTTGCAAACATTGCTGACAAACATTTGGTGTAAAGCATTTCAGTTTGAAAAACTAAAACGCAATGACTCAATTCCTTGCTCTGAAAAATGGTGATATATGCACTCATGATTTCTTAAAGCAAACATTCCTAAGTACAAAATTTTATGAAACTTCCTTCAAGGCCATGAAGCTATTCGTCTGTGTAATGAGGTTTTGCACTCGACAAGTAACTTTAGGAGAATTACATTCAACAAAGGTTACCTTAGAAAACACAACATACACTCTCTTGAACTGAGGTAATCGCTACTTTTTTTCAATGTCGGTTATGAAGTGTTTTCACGGGAGGAGGATGTTCAATTAAGGGTTAGGGGGAGGTAGAGCTTGGGGGGTGGGAGCCTAGCGTCCCTCAGTCTATATGTTGGAAAATGTTAAGAGATGAAAATATTTTTACACGAAGACTTCACGGTACACTAAGAACAGGTACGCTGAACGTAGACACGAATAGCCCGAGATTGATACGTATTGCAAATGAAAATGTTTTTTTATAAATACTTACGTATACAAACTTCATAAATGGGTAAAAATACATACTTAAGCTGATTATCAACCGAGCTCGTACTTCTTTCTTGTTCCCTAAATTGATAAAAAATATGATTTACAGATTTCGTTAAAAAGTGTTGACAAATCGCCCCACTGAAGGTAATGATATAATAAAATATGAAGTTATTCTTATTTTTAAAATATTAAGAAATTAAACACACCAATCAACAATGTAAGGTACACCAAAACAGTTAACAAACAAAATCCAAAAATTTCTAACTCCTTTTCTTAAAGTTCATACCAGTTAAACGAACGATAGTCTTTAGGAGACAACTCCGGTGACATTGCAAGCGATTTAGATTCTAAAAAAACAACAAAACAATTCATTACCACTTTCTTCAAAATATGTGCATTAATCCATGGTTTTTTTTATTAAACGATATGAAAAATTATAAATTAAAACACACTCAACAGCCTGCTAATTCATCTAATTAAAAAAAAGAATATAAAGTAGCTATCAAAGCATATCTCAACAGTTTTAAAGGCTCTACATGCAGTAGCGTAGCCAGCCCGCAGATTTACTCCTGCTATGTAAATTTTAAATAATTACCATCACGGTCAGTAAACACAAATATATTTGCGTATAGTGGAAGTAAAATGTCGGGCTGGATACGCAGCTGTCTACATGAGTCCAATTAAGGAATGGCGTAGCCAGCCTTTAGGTTTTATTCACTTCAGATCGTTAAAATTATTCATTTCTTTATAGCTATATCTATTGTTATCAAAGTGAGCAGACACATAAAAAATCGCATAACAAAATTAAATAGTTAGACTGGCTTCGCTACTGAGTCCATGCAAGTACACCATTTGCTATCATTACAACGCATTGGACATTCAATTACACACTTTTACTTATCCATAGCGCTGTAGAGTATTCATTAACACAAAGGAACAATCAAGGGCACTAGTCGATAGTAAATAACATTTATTTATGCCGCATAACAATAGGGAATGTTCAAGTAGCATCAACGTGGATTCAATGAAATCAAAGGAAGGATCATTAAGATAAAGCGGATATTCAATTCAAAATAACATGTATATACTTTGTACGATTAGTCCATATGAACTTTTGCGAACATAGAAAAAGTTTCCTATGAACTTTTTTGCAGATCTGAAGTCCATATGATCAGCAGCCATCTTGAAAATTAAACTTGCAAATAAAATGTGGTCGAAAAGATATTTTTAATTGTTTATATTATTTAGAATTCATTCTTCATGTTACTAAAGAAGAGATGTTTTGATATAATTAGTAAACTTTAATTCATGATGACGTTTTTTTTAATGTTTTATGGAATTTTAGCCAACATTATTGATTTAATAATTTCGTAAAAGCACTATTGCTAATGCGCATTTAATATACACGACAAGTTTTTTAAAAATAGACATGTTTGACATCTCATGATGCCATCTCCAGTATGAGTGAAATAATAAGTGATACAAGGTTTATATAAAAGTAATATGATACATAAATTACAACAATAGAAACGAAATAAGATAAATTAATGGGGAGCGTCCGAGCGTATTATAAACTAAATATTGTATTGAATTTAAAAACTTGAACATGAAGGTCAGAGTTAGTTTTGTTAATCTGGAGTGCTTCTTTGATTTTAAGGGTGAATGAGGTGTCGGCAGTGCCGATGATTTTGAAGCAAGAGGGTGAATTTCAACATCGACACTGCCGACACCTCATTCACCCTTAAAATCAAAGAAGCACTTCACATTAATAAAACTAACCCTGACCTTAATGTTCAAGTTTTTAAATTCAATACAATATTTAGTTTATAATACGCTCGGACGCTCCCCATTAATTTATCTTATTTCCTTTCTATTGTTGTAATTTATGTATCATACTACTTTTATATAAACCTTGTATCACTTATTATTTCACTCATACTGGAGATGGCATCATGAGATGTCGAAACATGTCTATTTTAAAAAACTTGTCGTGTATATTAAATGCGCATTATTGATTTAAGTTTTATGGTTTCATGCCCATTCATTGTCAGAGTCAATGTGATTGTAATCACCTTCACTCTCATACTCTTTGTCCTTATTCAATATATGCGCTTTATCGTTGTTCTCCTTATGGATATCATCTTCAGGTATATGTATATGTGTGTACGGATTGCCATAACTAAACTCTCCTGAACGCTTGCAGTAAGTTGTGCAAGCAAGATGTTGTTTGTTGCAGCTACATGCCTCTGAGCGGCATTTTTTGTCCTTTGCTTTGCACTGACAAAAAGTCCCATCAATTAACTCAGGAGGCTCTGGGTGTCCTTGAGCGATGATAGGAACTGGAATATCATCTTTAATGTCCCACCCAAATTGGTGATGTCTTTTGATTCAAACGGAGGGGCTTTTTAGTCTGCAGCTTTCCATAGCATGCCTTGTAGGTGAGGACGTAACAGATTTTGCAGCAGGTCATAACTTTCGTGCTTTTCTTGTTTTTGGTGAAAAGGTTAAAACGAGTAGACTCGATAGATATACCAGGTATCTGACCGTGCAGAGCGACGAAAAAGGGTTCTCCCGCCTTGGTCAGATTTGCTTGGCTTATTCCACTTTCACCTAGCACACTTGCCAAAACCTGGAATATCTCCGCTCAGCAAAGTGTTTAGAGCGATGATATTGCCTTTTCTAAAAAGGTAGGATGTTGTGTCACATCCGGTGACTGTGTGCATGTTCAACAACTGCAAACATTTTCAACCAAGATTATTGCAAGTTACGTTTACATCCAACACTGTTCCATCCCAGCATTCCATTTAACTTTTGACAGCAACTTAGGAAGATGAATTCAGTAGACCAACATTATAAAGACATCTGTGTCGTCACTAAGTACACGTATGACGTTTTTTCCACGCTGGCAGCTCTAATGACATATGAGACCATGGTGATATCTGCTTCATCATAGCCAAATAAGACAATACAATCAGAGTCCGTAGATGTGTTGTTCCCAAAATTGAATGTACACAAAACGTTAGCTAGCTTTCTTTTTCATGCTTGCTCTTTAAGATTACATCTCGCTTCGGAAGAGTACCAGCTATTGAAATGTCGTAGTCAATAACTACTTCAACAGTGCGCAGTTTTCTTTCGTGATCTTTTGCTGAAATTTCGAGGTATTTGTCAAAAACGACAATTTTCTCAACATAATCAGCATAGCGGCCTCAACGACCTGTCACAGAGTCAAGCAAATCGGATGTGCTTCCGCCATGAGGCCAAACAATATGATAGAAGAGCTGTGAAACATCTACAATAGCAACATCAGCACAAGGTGGTTGGATCTCAACGACGCCAAGACGTTTGACCAAATCGGACTTGCTGGCCTTGTGTAGACAACCATATTCGTCAATGAGGGAAGAATGTACTGAACATAGCTCGTACCCAGACAGTGGCTTTAGTGTCAAATTTCGTTGCTGACCAATCATTAAAGTCGGACAAAAATACTATCGAGATCAATTCTTGGCTTTGTCATCTTATTTACACCATGCTTCTTAGCAGTGTGCACCGTTTTTATTCGGGTACTGATAGCTTTGTAAAATCCACCAGGTTAGCTGCTCTTAAACTTCCATTCCATTTCCTTTTCAATTCTACAGCTATCTGACCAGTGACAGGATTGTACAGATGAGTGCGATGATCTTCTAGTGGGTATGGATATTTTTCCACACAGGGTCGTTCCTTTAAGACCTCCTTTCCCCATCTCTATAGCAGTTTGCTCCACAAATTGGTCAGCGGAAACATCGTTCCAGTATCCGTTATGATGATGACAAACCAGGTCTTCTTTCGTTAGAGGATTCATTTCTCACATTTCCAACAAGTATTTTGTGAGGTAGCAAGCATACTGCACGTGACCAGCAACGACGAAGTATGGCATCATACGCTGGATAACCACCTGCTTTAAGTGGATATTGCCCTGTCTTTCTGCCCGCTCAAACTGATGAACAATAAGCGTTGGCAAATGAAAATTATCCACCCAATGTAGGCCATTTGGGTAATCTCGAGCATCATCAAGGTACTGCTCTATCTGTTCATAAGTTTTTGGCCCAGTTGACAAAAATCGTTTCAAGAGGGCTGCCAAAACACCTCGAAAAGTACGCATCGCTTTCACCTAGGAATTGCTATTGAATATACCAGTGAGTCCTCCATAAGCTAAAGCCACATACGTATTCAACCCGATCTTTTCATCAACTTCGAAATGCATACTGGATAGATTGTGCTATGCTAAGCGACGCTTTTGTTACTTCACCTTGTGACACCAGCTTTGATATCAATCTAAGCAATTTTGCATAAGTTTGTTGTTTGTCACTAAGTTCGTAGATTTTGTTGTCGAATGGCATGCCTTGTTATTCTATTGTGATCCGTCTCACTAAGATGTCTTTACCCTCGTCCACCTTATCCACTTCGGAAATCTTTACAATTCTGCTGACATAGTCGCGAAATCCACTGATTGACGCACAGCCATTAATAGATAGCACTATTGCATCATTACCTAAATACGCAACTAGCTTCGCGAACATTTGCTTTTGTGTTAAGTGACCACCATACGTTACATACTTTTCATAAAGTTCAATAGATGTGCAGGTGCGCATCTGCCGATTCCCGTACATCTCGTCAACTAGCAATTGCATTGCTTCTTCATGCAAGGGAGAGACTGATCAGCTGTAGCAGGAGCTTTCCTGAATTCATCGTAGCAGCGAACATGGTACTAAGCTTCAACAGCAGCTAAATCATTAACACCGTTACAACGCAACGAGACTTCCCTGCTCCACGCATTATCACGATCATCATAATTAATTGATATTGTACATTGTGCTATTGAATGTCTGATCACTCTCTTATCAGCTTAATTGACGTTGTTAAAACTAAAGTTATTTTTAACGTTGAATTAGTGAATTAAAATTGCAAAACTAAATTTTTTTTTTGGAGGAAATGTATAAAAAATTGATTTACACTCTTATAGCATAATTCCTAAGTACTCTCAATAAATTTTATCCAAAATTGATATATTCTAATGTTAATGCATAAATATACTTAAAAATTTTATTCCAGTTTATGTTAACTTATGACGTCATAGTCATCAATCACATCCAAAACATTACATTTTCGAGCCATGGTTGTTGCGTAAAAATTTATCAGCATCTTCTAATGTTCTTCTAATGACGTGAAACACAACCTCGCTTTACAAATTTAAGCCTTTCTCAGAAAAAAATAATGACCAATCAAGTGTGTCTGTCGTGGCGACATTTTTTTGCGAGATTTCTTGCCAGATTTTAGAAAAAATTGAAGTACTGTTGTGTTCATCCACCCTAGTTTGTTGGGCGTTGTCGATAAATATGAAATAAACTTCTGTTAAAACATTAATACAAAATCCACTCCATAAATCGACAAATCTAATGGACACATTTGTTGCCATTCCTATTAATCAAACAAGTACTGCGGAAGATTGATGATTGTGGGAACTAATACTCATATATACATGCTATGCCGTATTAAAGGGCCGATTACATGGAGCTATTTCAGCTCGGGCTGAGTTCAGCCCGGCCAACTGGGCTCGTCCGAGGCATGATGGCCAGTTGTCGTTAATTTGTTGTCATTTTGTTGTCGTAATCATAAGCAATTGGTACACGATTACGTATGCGTGAATATTTTCAGCTGTGGTGTCAGCCCGGGATGAAATTTCACCTCGGGTAGCTTAAACCGTGCTGAAATTCCAGCCCAGGCTGAAACTGTGCCCAGGATAGAATTGTTCTCATGTAATCGCATACGCTATTTTGATAGGATATTATAACAGGCCCGGGCTGAAATTGCTCAATGTAATCGGCCCCCAATTAAGCACCCCAATTATCGATTTTCGGTAAACCCTGTCAAAGTAGCCTCTTAAAACAAAAATGAATGAGATTTTTTAAAATACCTTTGACGAGAGAGAACTGTGATTGAAGTAAACGTCGTATTTCTTGCACCCAGAGATTTTTTATATCGTCTGATGGTGCCTATAATACACACAATACGTTTTTTATAAGTTTAAGAGTTGTAAATTGTCATGTCAAGTTATGTAGCGTGTGACTGTGTCATATTATAGATTATAAGATTATAACTGATATTATTAAACAGATGGAAAATACGTAGATAGTTATAAAATTGTGGTTTTAGTGGAAATCCTGTACGTAAAACTAAAATACTATAGTCATTCGAAGGAAAAACTTTCTTTCCGCAATAAGCCACTGTAAATATCCTATCAAAGTGTTTAATATAATTGTCAAAATACAGTCCCATTGTTCGAGTGAAGTTTGAGAACAGTGAACAAGTACTTCGTACAGATTGTGCAAAAACCAGTGTGAAGCCGGCAAAAAGAGTTAGCAAAGAGTTAGTAGAACTTGGAACATTTCCGAGCAAGAATTCCAACGCCTAAGCGGTCTTTTTTCCATTTTTAAAGTTCTGTTTGATGCATTGCCCTTTGCATTGTGCATATTCTAGCTATATTATGTGCGAACAAATATAAAAAACTTAATCATTACTGAAATTTGATTTGAAGAATAAAAACTTACCTGCAACGTGTAAAATTCAGACTTTTTGTGTAAAAGCCCAAACTTGAGAGGATCTTCCTTAACTGTTTCAGTTAAACCAACATCGACTAACTGTAAAAGCACGTCATAAGTGGCGTATACAAAATTGATTTAAACGCAGGTAAACGATTTGATAAAGTAAGCACCACATATACAGTACGTCAATTGCAACACATTTCTTGTGTGTAAAAGATCAACAGACAAATCAATTGCTAATCATGGCGCATATTTTTGTACTTTCTTAAATGAAGGATCTTATATAAAAGATTCTTTTAAATAAATTGTAACGAACTTTCTTCATCTTTTCTTTTGCATGTTATTATCTTCAGCAATTGAAGCATGTGTTTTATGTACAAGTTTGTTATTCAACAAACCTGCCTGTGTTTTGCCTATTGATTGTTATTTACGTTTATCATGTACACAAGATATAAAGCAATAAGACAGCTTTATACGACTTCCAAACACACGGGGAAAAACCTTTGCCTATCACCCTTTTAAAAAACGTGCCTTAAAGTTAGATAAAGCAAAAATACGTGTCTTGAAGTTAGAT